AGCTGGGCGTTGCTGCCCGAGTCTCTGTCTGTGGCGCTGATGGTGCCAATGTGCAGGGCGGGGCTGTTGTTCTCGCGGACCCACAGGGTGTAGGAGGACTGCGTGAATTCGGGGGCGTTGTCGTTCACGTCGGACACCTGCAGGGTGATGGTGTGCTGGGTTTGCAGCCTGGGGGTTCCCATATCTGAAGCAGTGATTGTTATGTTGTATTCAGCTGTGCCTTCTCTGTCCAGTGGTTTCTCTGTTACCAAAGTGTACATGTTTTCCACGGAAGACTTCAGGAAGAAGGGTAGGTGTTCTGGAATGGAGCAGCTTACTTTCCCGTTTTGTCCCGAATCTAGATCCGAAACACTGAAAAGTGCAACCATAGTCTCAGGGGAGTTCTCGGGGATGGAGCTGGTCATTGCAGACATGGTAACTTCTGGGGCATGGTCATTTACATCCAGGACTTGGATCAGTACAGTGCATTTTCCAGAAAAGCTTCCAGCATCCCTCGCCTCCACATTGACTTCATAGGACTGAATTTTCTCAAAATCAAGTTGTTCTTTCAATCGAATTTCTCCTAACAAGGGATGGATCTCAAATGTTCTGCTAATGTCATCTGAAGCTTGAAAAAGTGAATAAGAGATCTCTCCATTGACTCCTAAGTCTATATCTGTAGCAGTGACAGTGATGATCAGGAAGCCTGTGGGACTATCCTCAGATACCTGAGCTCTGTAGACAGACTGCTCAAATATAGGAGCATTATCATTGATATCCAGGACTTCAATGTGGACCTGAGCTGTACCAGACCGAGGTGGAGAGCCACCATCCTGTGCTGTTAGTGTGACCCTGAGCTGGGCTTCCTCCTCTCGATCCAGTGCTTTGTCTAGCACCAGCTCAGGATATATCTTGCCATCGCTGCGTTTGCGAGTGAGGACATGGAAATAGGAGTTGGGACTGATTATGTAGTTGTTAATATTATTTTCACCCACATCCATGTCCTGAGCATTCTTCAGTGGAAATGTAGTGCCAGTAGGACTGCTTTCTGATACTTTTAGCACAATTTCTTTGTCCAGGAACATGGGAGAGTGGTCATTTATATCTAGTACTTGCAGCTCCGCTTGATAAATATTTAAGGGACTCTCTAACAGAACCTGAAAATGTAGCACACAGGGTTCTGTGTGCCCACACAGTTCCTCTCGGTCCAGTTTTTCATTGAGCCATAAATCCCCAGTTTCCTGATTGAGCTGCAGAAGTGGTTTATTCCCCTTGGAAATAACCCTAACCCCTCGCTTTGAGAGTTCCAGCTGCTCAAGTCCCAGGTCCTTTGCTAAATTGGTTACAAAGGAGATACCCTCCTTTTCCTCCACCACAGAATAATGCCTAGACTCCACTGCACCTGCCACAGATAACACCAATAGGAAAAAGAAAAAAAGGACTTGCCTTTGTCTGCATCGGAGCTTACTGCTGACCTCCATTGTTCTTGGTTGGTGCAGCGTCCCGAGAGGATGTTTCAGCTGAATTGTAAAGTCCCAGGTGTTTATCCAACTAAATCACAGAAATATTCTAGTCCTTTTCTGAGTCCTGTTTAGAGGGACCAGACCTCCTTCCTGCTGCATCCAAGCTTTCCCCGGACTTCTCGCCTCTGCTGGTAATTTTTGCCAGCAAATGGAGCCACCGCAAAGATCCGTTGTGTACCTTCTTATCCTGCAGCGCCACCATGTGTCCTCATAGGATCTTACACAGCGTGGGATGAAAATAAATGCAATATACTTAACACTGCTAAGTACCATTGGGCTATGAAAGGTTACAATACCCGTTGCTGGACTTCATTGGGCAAAGAAATGCCCGAAGGCCACACAAGACACATGACGTTAGTAGAGACTTTCAGAAATGCTAGTTGAATTTTGTGCAAAAGGTATATATTTAATTAACTGGCTGGCAGGAAAGTATTTATGCGGCAATTTTGTGTGTGTATGTGTGTGTGTGTGTGTGTGTGTGCATGTGTGTACTTAGAAGATGTAAAAATATACATTCTTTCAGTGTCACAAACCATGAAATAGTAGATTTGCAATGACTTGTTTATTTAACCTCTCTCTGCCTTAGTTTTCTCATTGTTGGGTGAAAATTCAGCTTCTGAAAATGTTGGATAGGTAATATATATATATATATATATATATATATATATATATGACAAACTATTGATGGAGAATAATGGACATATTTTGTCAGGCTCTTGTGGGTTGCTTGCCTTACAGATGAGAAAAGTGTTGCAAAGAGGGATTAAACATAGAAATAAACTTTATATGCAAATTTGATGTGACTAGATAGTCAAATCTGCATGAATCCATTGCTGCAACTACAAAAACATACCACAATTTACATATTAAATGGATTCATAAGTAGATCAGTCTCGTTTTTAAAAGTATCATGTAGATGACTTTTTCAGGATACTGTAGAGTTTGTGTAAATAGAGACATTATCTGTATCAACAATGATGATTGTGTGTTTTTGGAGGATTTCCATAAAATAAACTTCTAAGAACCTTTCAGTTAAAGAATCTCAAATTCAATAAAAATCATATAAAACTATAGACTTTCATGTATTCATCACGTTTCAACAATAGTTTGCCATCCTTCTTTACCTATCCCACATTTTATAACTAGCAAATTAAATTTGTGCCTATAAATACTGTAACAAATTTAAATCATCTTTTAAATCCAAATTATCACACCATTCTCATAAAAGAAATGAAGCTAATATTATTTCATATCACCTATATTCAGATTTCTCCAATAATTTCAGTCATTCTTTGAATCAATATTCACCACATTACATTTGTTTGGTAGATCACTTAAATTCTACCAGTGTTAACTTTGTCCATTTCCAGTTTCCATACCGTTTACTTGTTGGAGACACCAGGTAATTTTTCCCTGAGACTATAAAAACAGTTTAAGATGACCATGGTGATGTGTGTGTGTGTTTAGACTATACACCAGTAGAGAGATATACTTTTGGAGTTACTGTCATTAATTTGTAGTATTTTTAGAACATATTCGAGACACACCACAGCTCTCAATAATTTTGAGTGAAGTGGTTCCGATGATTAAAACAAAGCTTCTCCTCAACCCCACAGAATTCCTAATTTTTGCTGATCATTTGTATTTCTCTTTAATATTACATGTCATTATTACTTTTCTTAAAATTTCCTGATTCTACACTGTAATATGTTGAATTAAATTTTTAGTTAAAATAAGAAAATATAGAAATAATTTAACTATGTAACTAATGTGACTTACAAAATTACTGTGTGAAGAATTAATAAACAAATGAATTAAACAAAATTAAGTAATAATCTAGATGCCACTGGCTCAAGTTTATAACTCTAGCTACTTGGGAGTTCATGATCTCAGTATCACAGTTCAAGGCCAGCCCAAGTAGGAAAGTCCTCAATGAAAAAACTGAAAATGAAGCCATGGCTCCAGTGGTAAAGTGCTAGCCCAGAGCAAAAAAGCTCAGGGACATACCCAGGCCCTGAGTTCAAGGCCCAGGACTACACAAAAAATATGTAATATTCAGATTCAAGAATATTTGTTTCCTCAGTTAAATCAAAGCCATATCTTCAGAAGGTGAAAACAAAGGTTAATCTTTCAACCTTTTTTAAAACTTGAGATTTGTTTAGACCAGACCTTTAGTATTAGTGGTTAGATAATTGAGACACTTAATTTGTTGGTTTATAAGAAAATAAAAATATAGACCAATAAAAACAAACTTTTTAAATACACAGAGACAGAAGAGCGATATAAACATAGCAGAAAGATTTCTTCTCCTTTATTAAGCAGACACTTGCTACAAGATATCTAATGACAAAAACTAGAATAGAATTGGTGCTAGGCCACAGATCCAGAGTCTTCTAGAAGTAGGAGAGAAGTCCAGCATTAAAACCAAAACAAACAAAAACAAGCAAATGTTCTCTTGTCATTTGTTACTTGGTGAGCTTAACTAAGTTTCATTTTTGAACTACTTCTTTTCATAAGGCATTTTCCCTCCTAAGCTTTGAGTGTTCAAATGGCGATACACAGTAAGCATTAAAAGATCTTCAAAGAATCTCTACAATATATGCTTTCTAAACTTAGGGTAAGTGCAACTTCACATCATCCTAATAAACCCAGAACATGAAAATGGCAAAAAGATTATGGACACTGGGAAGCAATTTAACATCTAAGACAATATTTCATTTAATAGATTATAAGTTAAGCACAATCATTGGAGAAAACCATACATACAAATTGCATGCATTGTGAAAGGTTCATGAACAAAATCTGATTTCTTCCTATGTCAAGAAATTTATACCTTTACTTTAAAAGTTTTGAATATGATACCAGATTACTTTGCTGCTGGAACCTAGAATATTTTTGAACAAGGAATATACCCACAGAAAGAAGGACTTATTTTCCTTTTATATCAGAAATCCAGCCAGGCACCGGTAGCTTGTAATCTGAGATTAGAGGATGTTGGCCAGCCTACACAGGAAAGTTGTTGAGAAGTTTATCTCCTCTTAACCACCTGAAAATATGAAGTGGCACTGTGGCTCATGTGGTAGAGCCTCGCCTTGAGCTGAAGAGCTCAGGGACAGAGCCCAAGACCCACGACCGAAAGAAGGAAAGAAAAAAAAGAAAGAGAGAGAAAGAAAAATTCTGAGGTGTGGGACTTTCTTCCATATCCTTTTGGATGCCTTGAGGTAAGACGGTAGAGATAACTCGTTTTAAGAACTTGAACTCATTGGGGGTTCCAGGGCCATCACCAAAGTGTAGAGTACGTGCAAACTGGGAAAGCTAAATATTTATTTGGAATAGATATAAAATACGCTTGGAATATGAAATCATTCCCATTACTGGATATTGAACCCCAAACTATTGCGGAAGCTAGGCATACCCTCTAGTTCATTCCCAGGGACCTGGGGGGATAGGTTTGGAAACACTGGCTTCAGGAATTTGAACTC